GAATTTGAAGTCTCAGAGCAGGAATAAAATATGAACTATCGAAGAACAGAGTACATGCAAATATGTGTCTACTTTCATATTTTCGGATATTGATACTGTAACAGATGATAAGGTATGTATGCGCATGTTCGGGTGAAGAAAAGATGCGCATATACATATGCACATTGGTCATAGTGACTCTAGTCATCTTTCATTCTGTTTTGATCGATTTGAGATACAAGGACAATTGTTTTTTGTTTCTCTAGCCTTGAATAATTGAATCCTTTTTTGATTAGTGCATCAAACACAAATGGGTGTCCTTCAAAGGATTAATCTTTGAAAAGAAAAAGAAATGTATATGCTTCCATTACAATAGTGTAGAAAATTATTTTAGGTAAGGAAACAATGGTAAGTAAAATGTGTCATTAAATGATGATTGCCCGATCACTTATTTTTTATCAATTATTCTTCTTGGAGTATTTGCTTAAGATGAAATTTCTCAGTGACTTTGTAATAAAACAATCGATTTGAAACATATTCTATTGTATAAAATATTTGAATTTCTATCTCAAAAACAAGAAGTAAGGTTTTTTTTATAGATTCATGCTAAACTACAACACCGTTTAGTGTTTGTATTAAAATCTGTAGATGAAAAAATTCAAAAACATTGAGTTTCTTGTGAAAAATCCATTCGATCAATAGTGCAACGTCTTTGATAAAATATGTGGTTAATTTTGAAAACAATGAATTGATTCCTCTTAAATAATACGTAAAAAGTCAGAAGCGTCCCAGTAATGCTTTAATGAGAAAAAATTGTGGAAAACTTTTGCTGTAAATTTTTGAATAGACGTTTTCTTGTTTGAGGAAAGGTATATAGTTATGGGTTATATTTGACCTGAAAAAGACACTTTCATGATGACCTGTTGTCTGAAAAATGGTCACTTTGTACATCTTTTTTTTCCAATAAAAGACATGGGCTTTTAAGAAAGCTTTGATATTCTCAGCCAAAAGTAAAAAAGGTAATCCATTGTTAGTATAGCAATCGTGATACCCTCTACACTTTTACGCATTCATATTGCATATTAAGCGATAATCGATTGTGCTCAATCGAAGGTCTCAGATTTTGTTCACTTTAAGATGTACGATAGAGACAAATGTTCTGTGAATTTTGATACAAAACTACTTTAGAAAACGTTGAAACACCAATCTTTTACAATTTTTTTTATGCATGCACATACCTATAAGTTATATTCCAAAAGAAATTTTCACCCAAATCGACTGATTCCTTTTTATTCAATGAATTTTGCTTTCTGGAGAAAAACTCGCTATTTTGAACACTTTTGAGGTGGCATATCTTAAACTTGCCAAGTGTTAACATTCGGAAACTTTCAGAGTGAGTAGAGTTCGTAGAGATCTATTCCCAATAACAAATCGAGCTCGATTAAGTATTGTATTCGTGTTCCAGAACTTCGTTAACCATTCATAAGTTGGAAGTGCAATATTTGGTGTAGAACATGACATAAAATTCAGCATGGAATATCAAGGAATGATCCAAAAAAAAGGGGTCATCTTTGGAAACCCAAATAAGGTGTACGGACCGGGCAGGTAATTCTAGATTTGCGATTCTAATCGTTGGCTAAATACTGTTTTGAACATTGTATCTAGATAACTATGGATGAAGTGCACAAAAGTTATCATCTGGAACCAAGATCCTCAAGGGAGTCTTAGTTCCTTCTTTCTGATAACTGAGGACAACTGATATCAGACTACTTTTTCAGAGTTCTTTAGGAAAGGAAAAGAAACTGAACAATATTAACGGCATGACATATACTGTTCTAGAAAGTTATAGAATATTCCAAAGCGTTCGGTGAAGCGTTTGTAAGTGTTCTAAATAGTGCGATTTTTTTGGTTTTGTACAGATAAAAGCTACTATTTAAGATGCCAAGGATGATGACCGGTGATGGATAAATTAGCCATAGTCGTCATTCGATCAATATAAAAATCGTGAATTAATCAAGTTATAACTTGAGATAAACTACTTGTTATCATTGTTACTGAGCTTATCTAGATATATCATATTGTATTGAGACTTGCTTTCGATGTAATGGATATATAGAACAGGCATATGATTAGAAGAATCATAATGTTCAATTGAGAAAAACGGAATACGAAAGAAATATAACAACGAATGGATAAGCAACAAGACGAATAAAAAATAGAGTGCCACAAAAAAATTGAATTCGAAATGTAGCAACAAATAAGACAGGTCGTTTCTTTGGCGATTAATTATCGTTGAAAAACAACTATTGTATTAGTATAATGAGACGTTAAGATTCATATCAATTATATAATATAGCATCGCATTAACTGCGTTGGCAAATTCTTTTACGGCACTTTGAATTTTTGAGAGACTTCCTTGAGGATATTGATCCGAGATACTTAATTCTTTCATAGCTATTTAAAATATGATGCTTCTACAACATCATTGCAGCTATTTGAAATGTAGTGCTTTTAAAAGAAAATCGTTGCAATTCAAAAATTGTTGATCACTATTTAAATAAAATGTGTAGCTGCTGCATGATTTCAACAGCTGTTGTTATTTTTGTCCTTGTATACAAGATTCATGCAACAAATGCTTTTCAGAAAACGAATTTAAAAGAAATTCTATTTCTGGCATTTAAAAAATTGTTAGATTTTTCGTCAGTAGAATAATTATTATTTTGCTTTGAAAAGTGCATGTTGATCGATTGAATATTATATAACGTCATTATCAATACATCAGATTAATCATGGTGCTATTTCTAATGAATCTGACATTATAATATTCAATCATCTGTTTATATTGTCACTTGATGATTAATTCAAATCCAACTACTCAACATAAACAGAGAACTACTACCAAAATGAGAAGGTGAAAACTTTTTATTAACCAGTGTTGAGTGTCTCGCAATAATACTACTTAAAAATGACTAACCATCATACAGATATTTTTTCATAATTTCCACCCACCCTTGGCTTGAAAACAATAAATAATGTTAAATAAACCTCTGATCATGATTTTGATAAGAATGAATATTTAATTACTAGTGTTCCAAATGATTGAAAAGTGCTTTGTATTAACCAGCTATTTGTGAAGATATTTACAAACATCTGACCTTAAATAAATAGCGAGCATGTAATTAAATAGCTATGGAACCTTTGAATAGCTATGAAAGAATAGTATAACTGTGGAGCAGTTAAATAACTATGACAGTTTCAATAGCGATGGAAGAATGAAATAGTTATAGAAGCTTTAAATGGCTATGAAAGAATAAAATTGCTATGAAAGCTTTGAATGGGTATAAAAGCTTCAAACAGTTAAGTACGAATTGAATAGCTATGAAGGATTTATATAGCTGCAGATTTTTCAAAGTGTTTTATATTAATGAAAATTACATTTCTTTTGAGAGCGAGCCGCCCAAGGTAATATTTAGTCAATTATTGAATTTTTCAAATGTAGAATTATCTGCCTGGTCAACCCACCTTATTTGGGCTTCCAAAGATGATCTCTTTTTTTGATCATTTCTTGGTATTCCATGATGAATTTCATGTCATGTTCCACACCAAATATTGCACTTCCAACTTATGAATAGCAACCACTACACTACTTGATTAGCTCATAGATAAGTTCGACTGAAAACTCAGATTTTCATCAATAAACCCAATCCTAACCAAGTTCTCGAGCACGAATACAGTATTTAATCGAGCTCGACTTTTTACTAAGTATAGATATCTATGCATTCTACCTACTCGGTAGATTTAAGATATGAAGCCTCGTAAGTATTCGAAATCCTGACTTTTTCACCTAAAAGCAAAACTATTAGCATACAAAGAGCTCAAATGATGTGACTAAAATTTTTTTTTGGATGTAACTGATAGGTATGTGCATTCAGAAAAAGAATTTCATCTTAATTAGCAAAACCATTCCTACGTTATAATTCATAAAATGTTTGTCTCTATCGTATGTCTTAAATTGAACAAAATGTGTGACCTTCGATTGAACACATTGTCAACGTATCGGCGATAGCTCACATGCAAGGGCTCATGAGATATTATGTCAAAATTCTTTGAGATTTTTATTTATTATGGTTTTGATTTAAATTGTGGGACTAGCATTTGCCTTTTGTTCTATAGATTGTTTTTTCGAATGCTTGGATGTGGGTGTGTTTAAAGACAGCCATACTCTTACCGTAAGAAAACTAATTCTACTGGAGAAATAAAAATTTTGCGTTCATGTTTGTAGACAAAAATGGAATAATAAGAAAACGAATGTAAATCCATGTGAAAAGGCTATAATAGACCCCTATGAGGAGACAATGATTTTGGTGATAAAATAAAAATATATGGTAGAAGAAGTTAAGTTTCCTATTGAGATTTTAATATAAATTGGATAAACATCTCCAATACAAAACAAGTCTCCTCCCATTCCCACCCTCAACGTTTCCCGAATAATCGTCTTTTATTTTGAACTCGAAACGGTAATACTTACTGAACCGGTGTGTTTGACAGCGTACAAAGATTAGTATCATAAAGTCTGTCTTACCGTAAAGTGTGCTCTACAAATTTTGTCAAGGTCAGGATAGTTCATTTTTGTGTAGATCATGTGGAAAAAACAATGAAAAGAGAAATTATAATAAACTGTGACTTTTTTCTGTTTGTAGCTGTTTGGTAAAAACTACAAAACTTTTTTACTCGCTGTCTTTTCTTTTATTATCGTCATTCAAAACACTCCCAATTGGTTGTTGCGACCAGGTTATTCGTCATCGTCGTCGTTTATAAATTACGATAATTTTCTGTTTGATATTGTTTATACTTATGTCAATGGTAGTAATGAAGAATATATTCGACTGAAAAACTACTGGTTTTCCGTCAACGGACCACTTTTGGGTAGCGATCGTCTACAAGAACGTCACAGCACTGCAGCAAGTCTATCGAAAGACAACAATGAATTATGTTTTTCACTACGAAGTATTGAAAAATATATGCCATCATTTCATGGTCATATCTATGTTGTAACCGATCAAATACCCAATTGGTTAAATATTTCAAAATTACAGACACAACTCCACGTGATCTCAACTCAAGAAATCATAGATAATAAGTACCTTCCAACATTTAATTCTCATACTATCGAAGCCAATCTTCACAAAATTCCAAATTTGAAAGAATTTTATCTTTATTTTAATGATGATTACATACTCGGACGCCCAGTTTCGATCGACGATTTTTTTCTCCATGGAAAATGTCCAGTTATTTACGGTGATGATCGTTTAACATCGAACACCAATGTTACATTGAATATTCACAAAAAAGCAATGTTGAATACAAATTTTCTACTAGACAATTTTCCGTCCAATGCAGATATAAATTTATATGAAGATAATCGGCATTTTCTTCCGCATGCTCCACATCCAATCAGAAAATCGATTGCTGAAGAGGTTTGGTTCGCGAAATTCACTCAGATTCATCGTGAACAATCATCACATCGATTTCGTGACATGAATGATGTTCATCCAACCTATTTTGTTTCTCGATATTTGATTGAACAATCAAATGCGTGTGTCGAACAACGACGAATGAAAAGTGCTTGTCCACCTGATGGAGAAGATTTTTGTAATCAAGTACTTACGAATAGTTTGAGAAAAACAAAACTATTTTTTGATGGACTTCGTCGGCGATCACAGATGCCTAAATTTCTAAGTATTAACGATCGTACAAGTGCAAATTATACGAATCAGGATAGAATTCATGAGGAATTTCGACGCTTTTTAAAAGAAACGTTTCCACAGAAAAGCAAATTTGAATCGAGAGATTGTACACTGTGAAAAGAAAGTAAAATATCAACTAATAAACAGAAAAAAGAAAAAATGAAATATGCAAATGTTTCATCGATAAGTCTATTGGTGCAGGTCTTCTTTGCCAGATATTTGCGCACTGCAATTTATTTACTAATTGAAAAAAAGTAATGATTGATGAATGCAAATTATAATACACTGCTGCCGATTTGAATTTACACTCTTTCGTACTCTCTCAGTTGAAGAGTTTTCAAAGCATATTTAACAGTTTAGTTAATTAGAATCTTTCTTTTTTAGGGAGAAATATATGAGGTAAGATTGAAAGCATAAATTAAATCTGTTATGTCTAAATGGACGCGAATTGGTTAGTATGAAAGACGAATTGAGCAAAGCTTATCGACTTAAGGATGGGCAAGTTTTTCATCCAATTATAAGTCGTCATCATACACTTTCAATTTGTTTTCAGAACCACTTCAAGTGGCTTATAATGTTGTATATTTTTTGATTAATTAGATTTCAAAGAAAATAAATTCCATCGATATATATTGAAAAACATTTAATAAGAGAGTTTCACGAAAGGATCATCCGAATGCATCGACTACCACTGAAAACAAGTGTAGACTTTGATCCTGTACATCTAATTTGAAAAGATCGTACATTGTACGCATACGTCAAAGCTATAACATTAATAGTTCAAGTAAATGATGCCTTTTACCTTTTTTTTTTGTTTTTATTTTTCTGGTACTAAACAACCTTTTAGCTAAAGAATAATCCCGAATACTCGAAAGTAATTGCTATGATGTGGTCGATCAACGAAGCGTAGCTGCTCATGAGAACATATTGCACACATGCACATTGGAAGACAAAGAAAATGAATTTGCTCATTTTTACTGACCTCGAATAGCAAAAATCCTTTATTGTTTTGTTTATCAACTTGTTATAACTGTCTTTTAGTCGTGAATGAATTTCTAAGGAAAATCTAAAGAGATTATGGGTATTATATTCCATATTTTTAGAAGTAAGATTTAAGTAATAATCCAATGAAAAACCAAACAGAATCGACTATGGTGAAGTCAAAACAACTAATGTATACGTGAAGAAACAGGTCGATTCTCATTTCATTGTAATGAATGTTGTTGACCTTCGGTGATCTATAATCATTGTACCTCAATAAAACAAAATTTAACGAAAAATTTCTTCTAAAGCAATTCAAACAATTCTTGTAGACAAAATATATTGAACAATGAGAACAATTACCTATACCAAATGTCGATGAAAAATCAGTAGTGTTGTAATCGAAGTTCTTGTTCCAAGTACTATTCTAGTTAATATCTTGCTATAATAACCTTTTTTTTGTGTGCAATAATGAAGAAGTAAGATTCGACAGCAGTTATATAAATTTCTTCGTTTGACAATTGAATACAAAATGCCCTTTTTTCTATTGACCGTTTAAATTAACGACAAAACCTGAAGATGACTTCATTTTAATGGTCTGACTGCTCTCGTATTTGTGTTTTTGTAATTCGATAATAATAGTCCAACAAAAGCATACTTGAAACGAGAGAAAGCTGAAGTAATGCTAATAATAGGAAAAAAAGGATATTATTGCAAAAGTATACTATATAAACCCAAGAAAATTCAGGCTTCATCATTCATATATGATGTGCCAGACCTAGATCCCAAAATAGTATTTTGTATTCGATGTAGAATATAGAGTAATTTCTGTTCATCCGAAAAGTTGGTACCTATAACTATTTTTTTGAATAATTCGATAACAAAAAGGAATAGAGGTCAACGATTTTCATCATTCGAAGGAATAATATCGGGAATATCTATTTGTGTAACGATCATTCGTTTGAAGAGTTCTTTCATAACTGCTGTTAAACTTATGTTTTTTATGCTGACTTTTTTCATCGAATTTCACAAGAATTTCAACTCAAATTATGCACACATGTAGCTGAAACCACCATATATTCGCGATAAAATTTTGAGTCGTTCTTTCAATCATTTTCTCCAACAAGATTTTTTTAAGACCATGATAATTTTTGTAGGAATATAGGGTACTGTAGTTTCAGCTACATTCGTGCATAATTTGAGTTGAAACTCTGGTGAAATTCAATGAAAAAAAAAATAGCGAAAAAATGTCAGTTTAAAATAAACTATGAAAGAATCCTTCTAACTTAATGAGTCTTACAAAAATAGATACTTCCAATACAATTACACCCACACCCACCATGCCCAGGTTGCTTCATGAAATTTCGTTTCTACCTTGAAAAACATATCATAAGGGTTGATCAATTTTTAAACACGCTTGCATGCATGAAACAATTGTCAATGTGAAGATGGGCCCGAGTTTACACATGCATTTACAAATTTTCTGTTGAATTGCTTCGATACATCTAATATATGCAATATTTTAGTAGACATGATATTTTATTTTGACTATGCATCCTATCACTCAAAGCTGCTGGTAAAAAGTAAGTTTTCGCTTCTTTTTACACCATTGTAGATGTCAAGCAGCTTTTTAGAAATATGTCCAGGAGCCACACGAAGCACTAAAACTGAAAGTTGAAGACTCTTTTTGTCAGCATCTATCAATCTATACACTTTCCAGTATATGATATGTTAAATATATTCTCATTCTATTTTTCTCATTTTATTACATCGATGGATGAAATGACTTGTCTTAAATGTCTTCAATATCCGTCGGATATTGTTTGAAACGTCTTCCATACCCATCATGACCAGATATCTTGACAAGAAATGTTCTGTAATTCCGTTATGTCTCGGAGTGTCAAACTTCAAAGTTGAATTTAATTAAGTAACTACTATTGAAGTTTCAAGTTTCAGATTTCAGTTGTCTTTATTTTCGCGGCACCCTCATCGAGAAACTGGCTGTATTTATTTCAATGTTGAAAATCGATACTTCAAACTTGAATTTTGAAAGTTGATAGTTGAAAGTTAAGATTTGAAACTTGAATGGAAATCAATTTTCAAGATTGACTTACATGAAACATTACAAGGTAGATTTGATGATACAGCGATGTAATATATAAGCAGTTCTTTCTACCATCAGAATTCGAGTATCATTCATCGCTTTTATTGAAATCAAGTGATTATATACATTTAAATGAGTCTGTAATTTAACGGTCTTCATATAATAGAGTCATTCTTTTTTATATAAGCATTATGAACTCGGAATAATTTGTTTCAATTTTATTATTCTTCATTTTGGTGCTTGCGATTCAAGCTGTAAATCAACTTGATGGAGATTCAAATGACAGTCAGTAGAAGGCTATTAGCTATTAATATGAGATAACATTATTGTTAATTTTTCAGACATGTCTGCAGGCGAAGCTGTATCGATTGCTGTTCGTACTTTCAATTGTGATCCATTAAGTAGCTCGGCTACAGTGAAATGCATGATACATTGCAATTTGGAGGGCTTTAAAAGTGGTTATTGCAGAAAGTATGTGAGCAAGTTTATTTGTATGTGTTACTGATGGTCGACATGTACTATACTTAATGTCTAACTTAGAAGTTTTAAAAATCCTGACTTAATTTTGTTTTCGTGATATAATAAATTCAATATCTTGTTGAAATAAGCATGTATATATTTGATTTGCCTGCTGATATCAGACTTGATTAAGAAATGTCAGTCGATCAGTTTGCCATAACTGTACAAGAAATCGCAATACTACAATATATCAAGTCATTTCAAAGTCAGAGTCAGATGAATCGTTTTCCACGGAGCCAACTTGTTCGAATGAATATTCCTAGATTAATTGGTCAAAAGACGGTTGAGTTCATGTCAGCTACACATCTCTATCTTTTATTAATCAACTTATCGATTTATAGTAAGGTAAAAATGTGAATTTTTTTTGATTTTTAGAAGTTTAAAACACAGGCTAGCTTTACTTAGGTTCTTCTCTCTCTTGTTTTCTGTAAGCATTGATACTCAAAGCACTCGACCAATTTTAATCTCTAATCAAGTACAAACGTGTGCGGCAGACTGCTGCCAACGAGCGAAAGAAGATGAGTCAATCAATTTAGAAAATATAAGCTTGGGAAAGCTCGTTTAATGTGAAAAAAAAGAAATCGATAGGTTTTGAATTATTCTACATCGATGCCGATTGCTACTGATGTTGTTCTCATCAGTGAAGCAGCTAGCTATTGATCTAATAGTAGACTAGTGAATTTGTAATTAAAATCAGTACCAGTTCCAATTCTGATGTCTCTAGCATATCATTTAACTGACTTTAGACAATAAGTACTCAGATACATAATAATGATTGCTGAATGCAATCGAAAAAATTGTGAAAAAATCTTCAGAACAGAGAATAAGGAAATAAAAAATAAGTAGAATTGACTATATTTGTAACACATAAATGATAATATTGGTTTAAGACCAACAGCAGTATTGAATAATCAAGTCTAACAAAAGCAGAAAAGTCAAACAGTTTAGAATGATAGTCCAAGTAATTAAAGAATAGGCAAGGATGGGCGACATGACTAATCCGAAAGGTTCGCGGTGCCAGTCAAGTCTTGTCTGAAATGTCTCCTACGCCCATCGTAACTTGTTGTCTTGATAAAAATCTCCTGTAACTCCGTCTTATCTAGTTCGTCGATCTATCAAACCTGCCAAAACTATTTATTTGAATTACCATTTTGTTGAGGTTGTTGAGCACTTGGAGTGTTGAGTCAACTATAATTTTCTGCTCTTCGACATAAATTTTTTTTGCTCGGTTCGATTTTCATGAAGTTTATCAAATTATCGTGATTGTCGGTCAAAAGTCTAGTCAAACAATTTTTTTTTTCTGTTCTGGGATCAGTTAAGTTGATAATCAATGTATGTCCCGTATAAATAATTAATGAAGTGGTGTATGCCATGTAGAAGAATCACAAAGATCTTCAAGAATGGTGAAAATTTATAGGAATCTTTTCTTGAGAATCCTTTTCAATCGTGGTGAATTCTTCGTTGGCAAAATGTTGCCCTGTATCCGAAGATTTAATTCGAGATGTATAGTTGAATTTTCTAATTGACTCTTCATGGTGCACGATTTGAGCGGATTCATTATCTTTTACATCTTAACTTTCTATGGACTTATTTTGTATACTTGACTTTATATTGAAATACGTCGTCACCATTGAACATTCACATGCACAATATACAACTTGAACTCTAAGACGTCTTCGTAATTTAATTCATGTTAATTATAAATGCAAAGCTTACATGAATTGTCCATTTGTTGTCAATGAATACATTCATGATTATAACATATAACACATGGCCGGTCAATCATGTTCCCTAGTTCAATGATCCATTGAACGAAGCGGTATTCTCTTTTTTGTATTAGTTCTGACACTCTTTCGACTGAACAAATTCAACTATCGCAATCAACATCAAATCTCAAATGGACGACTTTTACCAATTTGGCAGCAGTCAGTCATTGACCTTATATAGAACTGAATTCAAGGCTAGAGTATTCAAATGAAACTAGTTTTCACAATATTTGAATGAAAAATGTTCTCGTTCAGTTAAACGTCATTGTTGGTGTTTTTAATTCCTTAGCATCAACAAACTTTTACGAGTATACATTGGTCAATATACATGAAGACGGTACTCGACAACTATCAGCAGAGATTCCAACATTCCTTCTTCGATTTTTCTATTCCGAACAGGTTCAATTCCTAATTGATTAAGGAGCTTCAAAGATTGTCCTTATACTAATTTAGTTGAATAAACTATTCTTGTGTGATATATGCGTTCTATGATATAGCCGTGTGAGTTCTCCTACCATTCACACCCACACCCTTCATGATTGGCAGCATATTAATCAAGTTAGAGAGAAACGAATGAATGTTCTGAGTGTTGCTCTTAGTCGTCACCGTAGTTATATGGGTGTGCATGACTGACAATATCTAGAAAATCATACGATTGGATTAAACATAAAAATCGTTAATGAAAATAAAATGATTTGAATGCAAATTCGGTATAGTCTTATTTTCTCAAATATTCCAAAACGGGAAATATGCGTATTTCAGCTGACTGTGAATATTTCAGATAGCTGAAAGTGCGTCAAATTATGCAAAAAAAAAAAACTTGAAAAAAAATGTTCCATTAAATTAACACTAAGTTTCAGTTGCTTCATGATGTAGAGCCATAATGCTGAGTTAAATCAGCTAGAATTAATTGAGACTAGACTTGTGACCTATTTGTTGGATTACGAAGCCTATTGTCAGAATAATTTTTTGTCTCGTGAATCGCTCCAGTATAAGTATATCCTATTCGTGTTGGATCATAACGACCTAACGGTACTGCTGTTATGGTCGGTCTCAAACTCGCATCTGACTGAGCTGCTAGAGCTGCTCCATGAGCATCATATAGTACTGATGGATACTTTGTATTTGGCGGTAGCCGTGATGCATTAGAAGTTAATTGATGAAGTGGAGCATTCGGTTTTTGGATATATTCTCGCTTCGTGTTTGGCGCCAGACCCCTTGCTGCTGTAGATTGAACAGCCGTTAGGACATTAGAATTAGGTTTAAAATTCAATTGTGAAGTATTCTGAGTATAAGATTTTGACTGCCACATCTGTCCCTCATAAAGAATCCACTTGCTTAAGCACATTATAAAATTGTGAGCATAGACGTGTTTGACCCATTTCTTGGGTAGATTTGTATAGCCATAGTAAGCACCTGCAAGTTGTCCATAAATAGCAGCAGTGGTATCAGTGTCATCTCCAAGATTAACTGCATTTAGAGCACCTGTTTTAAAGAAACCATCATCGCACCAAAAAGCCCACAAGGCAGCTTCTAGGGCATTAACAACGTAACCTTTGCCTCGAATGCCTTCATCATATCCACCATTTCTCTTATACGAGCCTTGAGCAATGTTCATGATTTCTGGAACGAGTTTCTTATTATTGAACCAGGTTTCATGTTTAAAATAAAAGTTGTCATCGAGCAATTGTTCTTTTGTTTCACCTCGTAGAGCAGCCACAATCAAAGCACCATAATAGCGACAAGCATCATAGGCTTTCAGATCACCATGAGTAATGATGCCACTAATACCGGAGTACTCAACGGCGTAAGCAGGATGTTTATGAAAGAAGAGTGGTACGGGCGCTAGTCGCATAAGTGCTCCGTTACCTGCTGCGCCATCTTCACTGCAATCCACATTAAAATCTGCAAGCAGATGAGGATCAGAGAGAAAATCTAATTGATCGAAAGGAATATTATATTTGATAGCAAACTGCTGTTGACGACGTTCGAATTCTTGCAACGACTGACTAGTGGCTGCACCAATATCGAAGCATCGTCCAGTCGAGGACATATAACCATTTCTGTACCACCACTTATATCGAACTAGCTGGTCGTAGAGAACAAAGTCACGACGCGATACCAACGAAATTCCTAGACAAAGAGCCATAGAGGTGTCGTCTGTGAACTAAAAAGAATATATTTCTGGAAAATAACAGAATTATCAATTTTATATATCTGTTTGAAGCACATTTTTCTTGAAGGAATACAAGAAAGATGAAGTGAAGCATTATTTGCCTATGTTTTTAGTTGTGTTCAATCGTTAAACACTTCCAAAGTCTTCTCATGAAACTTGAACGAAAATCGTTATTAAAATGAAAGGAAGTTTTCATGTATAAGCTATGCATACTTTCAGACGGCGGAAAGTAAAATTTATTACCACATGAAAGTAGGTCTTACGACAACAAGATTGTTGTCTATTCTTTTTTTTAACTAAGACTTCATGATATCAATAGCATAGTCTTTTATAAAGAATACGATGTCGATATCTAAATGTTTGGAAAATTTGCCAAGGAAAGTTTTTTCCAATAAAACGAACGTCATTCTTTCTGATATTATCGAGTTGCACAAATTTTAAAAAGGCTTTAGAACTTTTTTTGAGTATTGAGTGAGACTTATTCAACAAAGAATCAAGAATCTTATATAAAGAGGTAATACTTTACTTGTCCTTTTGCAAGGCCCCACGTCCCTCCTGCCTCTAGGTCTCGCACTGGATGCTCTAGCATGTATTGTCGCGGTCGAAATTCAACATGAGCTCCAAGTGCATCACCCAAGGCCATGCCAAGCATTGACCCTGCAATACGGTTTAATATGACACTGCTGACTTCAGATGGAGGATCTTGTAACATGACCTCAAGGTCTCTAGGAGTCATTATCGATGTTTCACTATTCCGATGATATTGAAGATCAAGCCATGGCTTTTCTAAATGAAAACATCCGTTATTTTTTCTAGTAGATTGATTCTGTTAGATGGGAAAGTTCTTTTTGATACGCCCATAATAGACAATGTTTTTTGTCAATGTGAAATTTTTCTAACTAACCTGTTCGGTAATAGTTTGTCGGCTGTATGGCAGTTGAATAATGTGTGTCTAAAACAATTTCGGAAAAGAATTTTCAACATAAGAAAGAGAGATATTTTCCGCTGCAGAACAATAAACTGAAAGGAATTATTAATTGCAAATGAATAACTCAGTTTTTGTTTCTTCAGTAATGAACAAAAACTTCTCTAATCTATATTTGATTTCGACTTACTATCACCATCCGATGTGTTGAATAAACATTTAGTGTTCTTCAAACATGATCTGTATGGAAAGCACTATTTCAAACTATTTCTTTGCAGAAAAACTTGCATGTTGGCTGCATGTCGAATAAAGCGTAGAGTACGATTAAAATCTGGATTTCACATGACTTTTTGTGTCTCATTATACTAATAGAAAATACGTTACGTGAAAAACATCTAGCACACGATAGTTGTTTTCCAAGGGTTCTTAGCCGCTAGAGAAACTATCTATTTTATTTCTACATTAGAAATACTAGGTTTTCTTTTTTACCAGTGCGTAGTTTTTATATTCCTAGTTACTGTTCTCTCGTTGTTTTTCGTTTTTCGTGTTCCGTTCTTTCTGACATCTTGAATATAAATTTTTATCTACACAAAAATCAGAAGCTGTGCTTCTTAGAACATTCATAAATGTATTCTAGCCGTTCACATTTCAACGAAGGCTTTGAAATATTCTAGAACTTTCTCGAACAATCTAAGTCTTGCCATTAATGACGTTCAGCAATTTCTTCTGTTGTAACAGAGTTTCCTGAAATGAGTCCGAAATCTGTTATTCTCGATTACTATAGAAGTGAACTCAATAATCGTTGTCGTTGCGACCTCTGACTGCTGGGGAAAACATACTTATCGGCCTCTGTCTTCCATGGTTATGAATGGAAGTTAGAAAACCTCGACTTAAAACTTACACTCACACTATTTTTCTTGGAAAAACATAATATGACTTCCACAAAAGAAAGTAGCAAGCTTGTTCAGTCAGTAGGGTCGGCGTCATCGATTCGATTCTAGCGTTTGAATTAACGACTTTTCACAGGCTGATGATCGTGCTAAGATTTCCTAGTATCGTCATGCTTGCCAGTGAGTGTCAGCAAAGATTTGAATTCAGAAATTTGACAATTCAAATCGAATTAACCAGTACTACACTACTGCAAATAGCAGGTCAAGTTCAAAAGATTTGATTTTCCTGCACTGATCTTTCTGATCAGATAAGGTGGTACAAAACAAAGAGAAAGAACTTATTGTCTGACCTCTAAGACTCTATCTTTTGCATTATTTTTTGTTTTTGTTTGTAGAACCGCCGAGTTACATTCTGTTTTATGTCACTGACATGTCGCCAATAGAAAACATCACTTAATCCAAAAAATGACCTCACTATATGATTACATACATTTTTTTTGATCATTTGGTTGAATTGTAGGTGATCTGAAGTATTGATCTGTTCGGTGGGTATCGTACGTAGAAGATGAAAATCCCAAAGGCTGACCTGGGTGTAAATATTGGGGAACGTTTTCTTGTAAATGAACAAAACATAATCCATTTTGTAACTTTCCTTTGCTCATCAATCGTAAATATGTACCAGGCATCAATAAAACTTCATCTTCATCTGGTCGACTAGAGTAATTGTGGATCGATTTGCCATTGATACATTCAATTCGAAATAATGTATACATACTGGTTCTATCTAGAAATCTGTCAAGTACCAACTTGATTCCTGTACACGAGCTGAATCCAAACCAGACACAATCAGTTTGATAATTTCCAGTGACGTCGCCTCGAGCGAAGCGCCAAATTGTACCTTTTATCGACGGTAATTTATTCAAACCACTAAGAAAGAGTCGGAGATAGGAAAGCCAAGGAGTCAGTTCATTTCGTTCATTAGAGCGAAGTGTTTTATTCAGTTGAAAAGAAACTGTTTTATGAGCTTTCTTTTTCTCAATAGTATAAAGATAAATGGCTGCGGCCTCATCAACAGTCAGATTATTTGTCGGATCAGATATATAATTTTTTTTTGCGATCCGAACCATAGCATTAATCTTTTTTATCGATCGTTGAAGATTTTTAGTTGCTTCTTGAAGTGTTACCAACGGTTCGTTTTCGTAGTCTTCGATCGGCATTATTCTTCGTAAAGGTTCTTCATCAGCGTCGACAAAGCGTTCAGTTACAGTCATGTTTCCCATAGGGTCGTTTACTTTATAAAAATAATATAACAAGTGTTTTATTACTGCTATTTCCTCCGAAATGATTGTTACTGCGTCTCTTTCTGACAATCTTCCTGACAGAAGAAAAGAAAAAGCGCGACAACATGTGAGAGAGTGAGAGAACGACAAAAAAAAATGAGAATGTAAAAACTGAATTTCTTGTTATGCTGTACATAATCGTTGCAACTTCGTAACGAAAAAAAAAATTATAAGCTTCCTTTCAAATTGTTTCAAATCGTTCGTTCCATCAATTGCGACTTTTTTTCGTTCTATCAATCTTACAACATTATTGGAGAGTATTTTTTTTCGAACCAATAAAGCAGTTGCAACAGCTCGCTGAAAAATTTCTTACTTTATTTGTTTGACTTTTTACTTGCCTAAGTGTGATTTTATTTTGCGCGCAATAGTCGTAAATCGCATGTACTTTATTGAAGCAGTAAGACACAAGAAAAAGAAAAAAAGTCTTAGGGACGCAAAAAAAAAAAAGAACGAAATAGAGTCTTTCTTTCATTTCATCATATCATTATTGATGTCAAATTTTGAAATTGATGTGGGTGTGGGTGAAGAGAAGACCAACATCCAACAGCAACATTCACACCTTGAAGATAACTTATCGGACATCGATTTATTTAGCCCGAAATTGAATAATTATGAATCTTTCTGATTTGTTGATTTTGTGCCCTTTCAAGTTCAGAAATTCTAAAGAACAGAGTCAAAACAATCGAAATGCAAGAAACGGAACAGTTTCAAAAATTAAGAAAACAAGCTGTAAATACAGAAGTGATCCGCATAATTGACTGTTAAGTTGAATCCATAAATCAAAAGTGAAAAAATTCAAAAAATGAAAAAACTTAAGAGCCCAAAATATCTAAAAAAAAATGACCATCTAAAACCGAAGAGACAGACAGATAATGTGAAATAATAACAACTCTAAAGACTAGAATCTGCGATATAAAGAACAAAAAAAAGGTGGATAAATCAAATGGAAATGTGCACAAAATCTGTAATCTTTAATCCCATTATCTATCCAAATTCCTAGTCTTTGACAGAACAATTCGATTAGTAATCTTAAGCAAGAGAAAAATACTTGTCTCACATAATAATACATTTGTTGATGTCACTAACGTGTACATGCAAGAGAGAAAATGCTATATCGACTTTGCAAACACAACCCTACTTATTTGACATGGTGTATGTAAGGAAAAACAAGCTGTTGATTGTTTTTCTTTCTCCTCGCATTTCTGTACTTTCCATGTCATGCTAGATAAGAAAATTAGGTCAGCGGATACCAGTAATAACTCTTTTATGGTTTTATTTTCGTACGCATGCGTGTGCGTTGATACTATATAAACAATAGTTGAGAATACTCATCGATATTACTACATTAGTGTTTACGCTGCTATATTTTCTGTGCTAAAGTGAAGAAAAATGGCCAATTACGGACCTGCATATGGAACACTGGCTAGCAATCTAATGAAGGTAATACAGACAAATAATAATTAACATGTAGTCAGAAACATTCTTCAGCAACAGAGCGATCACAGTAATTTTTTTCTTTAATACCTTTTGTTTAATTTTTATAATCAAGTGATTATTGAATCACGATAGTTAAATAATTTGTTTCGAAAACTGTTTTATCTCTACCCACTCCTTTTCAGATGAATATTTTATTAACAGAAGATTGAAATTCTTCCCTATTTCTTGCATTCTTCCACTGACTACAAAACTATGCAAACATTTGTTTTCCTTTTTTTTATCGTCGTTATATGCTAATACACACAAAAACTATTCCCAAATTAGAAACTGGTCCATCTTAGTACATCGACGAAACCAAGAATTGGATAACTAGTGTATTTCATTCTCATATATACTGCTACAGTATTGAATTATCCGTATAGGCAAAGAGCTGTCATCACTGTATCTATTGTTCTTGTTTTTTTTTGGCACTAATCATAACGAGAAAATTATCTATCTCTTGATGGTTTCTTTTTTCCTTTTCCTTTTTCAACTTTCATCATTATGATACACTTAAATATATGTAATTTATTTAGATAGCGATAAAGCGCGATTCAGAGCTTGATAAGGAAGCACAAGCATGGATCGAATTGGTAATTGGTGAGAAGTTTCCAAATTGTTCTTATGAAGATGCTCTCAAAGATGGTATCATCTTGTGCAAGTATGTTAGCTTTCTATTGATTAGTCTATTGAGCTTGATTATGTTTTTCAACACTAATAAAAGATTGATGAATAAACTTCAACCGAATGCGATTCCGAAATTCGCCACAGGAAGCGGAGGATTCAAATCGCGTGAAAATGTATCGCTCTTCCGTAAGTATACAATATTTTCTTATAATAATTGTCAGATTTATACACATGAAATAGAAAATGCGGCCCGTGCATACGGTTTACTTGATCTGGACTTATTTCAAACGGTAGATCTTTACGAAAAGCGTAACATTGCTCAAGTAACACATTGCATATTTGCACTTAGTCGACAAGTAAGTAGGGCAGTTGAATTGAAACAGAAATCTGTTCACTCCTTATTTCTTTTCCTTTAGGCTCAAAGAAAAAATTTCAATGGACCCGTACTTCGATCAAATGCGCCCGAATTTCGTGCTTGCGAGATACCCGAAGAACAACTGTTTGCTAGAAAAAGTCTGACTGGCTTTCTTGACGAAGGATTGAGGAATTTTACAAATCGTTCTAACTAAATATGCTTAATAATACGTTTTATATTTAATAATAAAAGAACAGCAAACGAACGAGTATTGTTTTCTCTTACAAACTACCATGAATCAAATATTCGCATATAGATTGGTTTCTATTTCTTTTGTTATAACTATGAAATGAAAAGAAAATAGCAACAGCAAATTTAAGTAGGGAAATCATATGTTTACGTTGCTATTAAGTCATATAAATACACTTAGACCGCAACGCAATTGTTTCTTTAACGACTCTTTTATTAAAATGAAATAATGGGTCCATTTTCATAGTTACAAAGTTTTACTTCAATGATTGAATTCATGTCGAATTGTGTTGCTATTAACAAGAAGTTTCTGTGCATCTGATTGATGATGAACAACTTTCATCTCAGTTCGAAGGCATTTCAAGATAATTTATTTGATTGAGATCTAATTTAATCTCACGGAATTCTGATGAGCATAGTTTAATTGAATATAAACAAGCAAAAATAACTTAATCAATGTATAGATATTGGTTCAAAGCTAGTATCTCTTTTAAAAAGCTTTCATTTTCATAAAGCATTTATTTTGAACTATTAAGATTAAAAAAGATTTCGTATTTGTTTGACTTTGTAGAGAGCTGTTCACTTTTGAAAATATTGAGCATTACTGTCTGACTTCACTCTATTGTATGAGTTTTTTCTGTACTCTAGCTCTATTTTACAGAGATCGCACATATAATTCTACGTATTTTGATTATTGGTCAATGCGTCTCAGACACAATATGAATGTGCATACCAAACATATTCTGGAATACTTTCCAATTCATGGCGCAAGACTCAATTGAAAAAAAAAACACAGAATTAGCTCGCACGACTCTTTCATAAAGTATATCTTTTAAGTTAATCTATTTCTACTTTGTCAAGATCAACCTTTGACATAAACAATTATGTTTTGTTTCTCATTCATACATGTGGCAAATACGTTATATAGATCTTCATGAGGACAAATAACATTACCGTTGAAGTTCGTTGTTCAGAGTAAAACTTTTTAGTACGTAGTACATAATGGTATAGTGATTTTTCTTTAGGAAAAGTTAGTCTATTTTGTTATATGCTTCAAACAACTTTGGTAAATAGAAAGTATTTGCCGAAGCGACTTTTGCTTTTGACATTGACCGAAGTGTAAGAGTAGATGAGCAAAAATGAGAAGTAATTACAATACTATTATTTTCATTCTCTTCTTCATCATCCAATATGTGTTCAATAACCATTCATAAACAGTAATGTTTAAAAAATGATTTCTAATATCACTTGATCGACTCACTTCTTGATGCTTAAGCTGCGTATGAATACGTTTAAATGAAAGTAAACTAAACAGTTGTATAATTTGAAAGTTTTCTGAATTATCTTTTTCGCTCCTTAAATATATTCGGACATATCTTCATAGACACCATCTTGAAATTGACAAGCGATATGATGGAGGATAGCTAACTAACACTCACCGGAAACTCTTCGCGTATTGTTTCTGAATAAAAATTCTTCCTCACACAGGCCACTTAACAGTAAAAATGATGTTTAAATGTGTTCATATTAAAATCATCAAAAGTTTATGATACATCCTCAATCTCTAAATTACTTGACTGACTGTTCGAATCTGTCAATCGATTTTGTTATTTTTATGCTTTCATTCCTCTATGAAAAACGGTAATTAGTTGATATATGACACAATTACATTTATCTGGAGTGTCTCAGCGGTGTTGTCAGTTGAGTAGTGATATTGATCGATGAATTTTAGTATGATGTGCCATTTGCTCGATGTGATGATAGTATTAATTAGCTGACCGAATGTGTAGGCCTTTTTCATCTGTGACATTACATTGACCTGAAAAAGAAAGAGTTAGCTGAGAAATAAGACAACTACTTTTATCCTAAGTGTGCTAGAATGAGATAATTAACTGTACGATGATATCGATCAATATTGATAATATGCCAATATACTGTATTAATCAAACAATTTCATTCATTAGTCGACAGATGTCGTCTATTATGCGATCATATTAAACTAAAAAAGACGAAGTTAATTAAGAAACTGAAGCTTTTCGTTTACTTTGAATCGTGTTGAGTTAGTCATCGATCAGACAATGATGCTGATAAATTCTTACCGATCCGAAGTTTCTTCTTTTGATGTGAATTCTATCAAGTTGTAGATACTGGTATTGAGATCTACATGTGAGAAATTATGTGCTCAAAATGGATGAGTTAGGCTGGGTAGTTGCCTCGATGGTGG